TCTCTAATATATAAAAATAACATTTTCTTAATTAGTGTCAATTCCAAAGATAGTTAATTTCTGTTTTGCTAAAGGTACGTAATATCTTTTCTTGATTATTTGAAAAGTTTCAGAAAAATAGTTAACCAGTTTCATATAATTTGTGACAAAGAAAATCGAAATGTATGAATACATATATTTGATACAGAAACAATATATATATATATATATATATATATATATATATATATATATATATATATATATATATATATATATATATATATATATATATAAAGCAAAATAAAGTACTAACCTTCTATTGCACTACAACAAAGGTTTGAAGCAGAGAATGATAATGAAAGTTATAAACAATAAGAATGATGCTGTGAGAGAATGTTTGAAGAAAAGCAACGATTGAAAATAAATGTGAACTGTGGATTCAATGATGAATCGTATATGTATGTGATAATTTGAATATGATTTTTTAGTATTAATGGTTTCCTAATAAAAATGGATTTTATATTAATGGTTTACTAATATAAATATATTTATATTAATGGTTGATATTAATGCGTTAACTGAAATGGATTGTTACTAATATGTTTTTAAAGCTGACTATATTAAAACATTTATCACCGAAAATTCAAGATTTAAAATATGGGAAGATTTTATTGGAATTATTTAAATTTCATTTCAACGAATGTAAGTTAATTTTATTTGACAGTTGGAAAGATTTTATTGGAATTATATAAATTTCATTTCAACGAATGTAAGTTAATTTTGTTTGACAATTGGAAATCTTTTATTGGAATTAAATACATTCCATTTGGGGAAGATGATGTCAACAATTTGATCTAAGGATACAAAACATATGATTGAAATACAATCAAAGGTCCAAATTGTTTAAAATGATGTCATAATGTTTCTCTTCTAATATTTGGTTATTGGTGTCTTCATGAATGTATCACTAAATTTTCCATTTAATACCTTAAGCAACAACAAATTATTACCCTTTATATTGAGTGTTTCGTCAAAGCTTACACTGATTAGAGATATTTACATTTGTTCGGAAGTTGTTATACACACACACACACACACACACACACATATATATATATATATATATATATATATACATACATACATACAAATCACTTTGACAGATGCCATTCGATAGGTCGAGTTGGTTTAGAAGATCCTGGAACTGACTTATGTAATCCTCCTTAATAAATGAATATTTTTTTTGCCACATGTCAATCTCTAATGAGTTTTGATACTTGTCATTTTATGGTATTTTTGAAATAAATATTATCCACTTGTCCGTTTTTTATTTATTTCAATTTTTAAAATTAAAGTCATATTACTTATGTATGTGAAGTATTAAATATCATATATATAATATTAAATTGCAATAAATATATTTTTTTTCTTTTTCTTATTTTAAAGTTGTATATTAAAAAATATTTTTTGGTTACATTTCAATTTAAGGTTTAATCTTTTTTTAAATCAACCCGTGTATTACACGGGTCTCACGCCTAGTAGGTTATAGATGTACCGCTCTATAGCTTGTGATTCAAGAGACCTGATTAAAACCGCTATTGTAGCTTGTGATTCGAGAGACCTAGTGAAAAATGCTATTGTCAGTCCACTGACAAACTTGTGCCACAATTTTTTTTTTTATAAATTATCATCATTCGTCGTTGTATTGGCTTTGACACCTCTATTATGTAAAGGCTCTATTAAGTCCTTCATAATCAACAAGTCTTCCATCTTTTGCTTCCAATTGTTATAATTTGTGGGCGTAAGTTGGATCATTGTTAGGTGCATTTTGTGCACCTTTTTACACATATTTTCCCCCATTTTATGCATTTGTGTAGTTTATTTTATTTTACATGCATTTCACTAAAAGTCATGTTACCTACTAGAACAACCTTATTTGCATTTTTTTACAATTTTTTTAGGTGATCTGGATGTGGAAATGCGCTTTGGGAGGTGCCTGGAAGCATGGGTGAAGATATCGGGACGATCGGACGTGAAACGAAAAAAGTTGGAAAATCAAATTTGCGCCTGGAAGTAGAGACGAATAAAAGGATATTGGAAGTGCACTAAGAAAGTGAACACAAGGCGTGTTTGACCAAGCCCATTAACCTTGCTGAACACGGGTCGTGTCATTTTAGCCTCTATTTCGACATGGGATGTGTTCAGTCCACAACTAACTTTTAGCAGTTTTGGACCTGGGAATCTGGAATCGGAAGCATTGGGCCTGACTCTTGGGCCTCATAGCCTACTGTAAAGCATAATTTAGACCTGGGAATTTGGAACCAGAAGCATTGGGCCCTTGGGGCCATATTGGGCCAATTAGGATTATTTTGTTATGGGCTAAAGACTTATTAAGATTGTAAGAAATCCCATTTGAAAGTTTGCGCCCAATTTGGAAAATTGGGCCATTGGTGGACCCTTAGGGAGTCTTGATGGACACTGGGTGCGTTGGATTTAATGCATTATGGTGGGGTTTTATGGATATTCTTAAATTGGACCTAGGGGTAAAATGGTCATTTTACCCCAAGTAATGTTAGAAATTCTGATTTGGTGTTAATATGACCATGATAGCCAGAACTCATCGGAGCAGTCTTTAGAGACCACTTTCCGCGAGTTTAGACATGCAGTACCATGAGGTGAGTTACCTTCCAATAGCGGTGGGTCTACGGCCACAATGTCGGCCCACCAGTAGGAAATGTATGATTAGATGATTGTCTTTGTGATATTCATCTAGGTTGCTGCTACCTGTTATGTTTATGTGTTAGCATGATATGATGTTATGTGATAGTGGTAGTAGGGGGTGAAATAGTCCCCGGTTACTGGTCGATAGGACCAAAGGGGTCGATTAGTACCCAACTATGCTAGACAAATTATGATATATGTGATTTATATGTTTATGCTATGTTTTTATGTGGTAGTGGTAGGGGTGAAATAGTCCCCATAACCGGTTGAAATAAACCGAAGGGTAAGTCGGGCACCCAGATATGCCTGACAGGGTAGGTCGAGCACCTATATATGCTTGACAGGGTAGGTCGGGCATCCAGATATGGCTGACAGTATGTGATTATGTGGTATAATGGGGGAACTCATTAAGCTTCGTGCTTACAGTTTTCAGTAGGGGTGAGCATGGTGCGGTTCGGTGCGGTTTTTGGTCAAAACCAAACCGAAAACCGCAATTTCGGTTTTTTGAAATTTAGAAACCGCATTGTTTGGTTTTATGTGGTTCGGTTTTTGCGATTTATTATTGCGGTTTTTATTAGTTTTTATTTTTTTCGTTTTGTCTTTTTACTAAAACTCAAGTAACTCAACGAGTTACTTTGACTCAGATGAGGAGTGCTAATCTTTTATTGGATATAAACCGATACCACCACCTCTTGGTTCGAAATCAAATTACATAGCCACTATTCAACATGTTTCTAATGCTTCAATATACTACGAATTTATATAATATTTGTTTCAAAAGTACATAGGATAATATCAATTAATGTATTCTTAAAAATGATACTATATCACTAGTACCATTCATATTTAAATGTTAAAAAAAAAATGTCATAAATATTATTTGTTATTGTAAATACCACTGAATGTATGCTTAAAAATATAAAGTCATCCTCTGATAGATAAGATAGACATTTACACTTATAGAATTTTTAATTGTCATAAGTTCTTGGTTCTTATAAATATCAACACTTAATATATATATATATATATATATATATATATATATATATATATATATATATATATATGTTGTGCGGTTCGGTTTTTTGCGGTTTTTGCAAGACTAGAAACCGCACCGCACCGAGTATTTTCGGTTTTTGTAAAACTAAAAACCGCACCATCGGTTTTTATTTCGATTTCGGTTTTTCGGTTTCGGTTTATGCGGTTTTTTTTGGTTTGCGGTTCGGTTTTTGCTCACCCCTAGTTTTCAGTTTTGTTTTAGGTACCTCTTCATCGAAGGGGAAAGAGCCAACGTGGTAGCTGCACATCACACGCACATCAGATTTCCACATTATGTGATTCATGGAATTATACTCTGACTTTTATTACTATTCGATGTTTTAACTTTGAGACGTGTTTTGATGATTTATGGTTTGATATGTTATAGACAATGTTTTCAGTAACCAGTCTTATAAATTACTTAACTAAAACGAAATTTTTGGACTCGAAATTTGGGATGTTACAGTATGTTTATATAGAGAAGCCCTCTTCCCTAACATTGAGAATGACATTTTTTAACAATTCTATGTTTCTTGTAATAATGATGCCTCGTGGAGGTCCATGACTTTACTTACAAGTCTCATGATTTTGCTATTGACCAGAGATGCACAAAAGATGTCTCAAGAGTGAACATGAACCCCGATAGTATCACCTCTAATTTGATCTTTGCTAGTTCTTTAACTAATTATTTTTATTCTTCTATCCATACAAAGTATGGCTTTCATTGCACAACACATATCTAAATCCATCACACATCACGTGAAGTGAAGGGATGGAGATATATAATCCATGATATATTATTTGTCAAAAGGGTTATGCAAGAAAGTTGTTGCAATATTTTCCATGTCGATTCAAACGAAATAGTCAATATATTGGAGCTACATCTGAAACTGAAAGAGAGAAATTGTGGGATGTTAGAAAGTTTCAAAAACTTTTTGGTAGTTTAATAAATTTAACTATGATAAAATCTAAGATTGCTTAATCCATCAGTGTGGTTTGGCAATTGGTGGTTTATAAAATGTTCAAGAAGTAGCAGTAAAATGGAAATTAAACAATCAAGAAGTAAATCACATGTCAATAAAAAAACAAGCATTTGCAAGGAAACATGAGGCAAAATAATCAAAATCGAAATAATGAACAGGAATTTTGGATTTTTCCATGCGAGATGGCAAGAAAGGGTGCGATGAGGTGCGCTTTACATTAAAAATAATGTTTATATGTTAATGAAACTAGACATTTGAAAGCTTTCACTTCTTTTATTATATCAAATCTTCATACATATTATTCGTGACAATGGCAGCTTCTTCACACACACTATAAAATGTTGCTTGCATCATATCCCTCTTTGATACAGGTAGCTCAGTCACCAATCCTTCAACATGTTGCAACTTTTTTACTAATTTTTCAATTTTCTCTTGCTTCATCTCAAAGTGCGATTGCATTTCAAATGGTGATTGTGCCCATGGCCTTTTAACTTGTGCTTTGTTATGCTCGTGCCACTTTATCTTGAGGCTCTCCGTTGGTTGCTCCATATCAGCCTTGGTAGTATTGTGAAGTGCTTTACAATGCTGAAAGAGCACCCGTGATTCTACAACAAGCTCTTGTGCTAATACGATATTCCTCATAACTCTAATATCCTGCAATGTTTGGCATGATCATCATCAATTTCCAACATAGATGCCTTTAATACTACAGATGCATATAACCTACCCTATTGTTTTTCTTAGAAAAATTAAGCAAAAGTAGAAACTGGAAAATAGATAGAGAACAAGTTTAAAGTTATCCAAAATGTATTCAAGTGCATACAACTTAGTAAGTTGAGTCTGATTGTGCATTTCGTTTAAATAACCACTTTGCTGCATAAATTAGGAAAAATGTATTGCATGGATATGATACCTCACACGAGATCATTGTGAAGATGGTACTTGGAGTTGCTTTCTTGTGTGCTTGCGCCTCCAAATAAACCTTTCTCGGGTAACTCGGTGTAAACTTTAAAATCTTGAAACCAGAAAACTGAGAAGGTTGATGTGAGTTTAGTCCCATGGATGAAGAAAGAACCTACATAAAACATAACAAAAGAAGCTTATATATAGTACAAGATTTTTTCCATAAGAATCTTTGTAGGTTGCATATTATAATGGACATCAACGACCATTACCTCAAGAAGCCTCCAATTAAGTATAAGAAGTTTGACATTGTGGAGCTGTTTAAGCAGACGAACTATTTTATGAGCATCTCTTAAGAGTGGGTGGAAAATACTGAGATTCACCTTCTCCAAAGAATGGAATGCTTGTGTAGAAATATCCAAAGGATCATCACCTTTCATAACCAAGGAGGTTAGGCCAGGTGTATAAATCTTAAGAAACTTCATATTGCAATAAATAATAGTGAGATTCTTGAGTTGAGGTGCAACCACATTCACACCCTTCAAACATATATATTCAAATGTGAGATTAGAAAGTCGAACATTACAAATATTGAAAACATTTGTTCCAATCATTATGAGTCGTGTTAAGGTGAGACTCTTCAAGTTGGTGCACTTGGAGAAAAGATCAATGTGCTTATCAGAGTCAGACAGTGTGATTCGATCAAGATGCAATGTTGTTAAAGCTGGTGTGGCAGAATAGGAAGGAGAATGATAATGAAATCCCAACAAATCAAGGTGATTGGGAGGCGGAGAACCAAAGAGAGAAAGAGGAGATCCAACATGACTCTCAAGGTTGCATGTAACAGTCAGTATTTGAATATTGAGAGACAATGCATAGTCTAGAATGTTATTGAAAAACGAATACCTAAGTCTCTTCCAAGAAAAGAGTTTGAATGCAGACAAGTGTATTTGATTATTGCGACGAGACATTTCATCATAAACAAAGTTGGAGAAGTCAGGCACATTTAAGAAGCAAATATATGGCGATGAAGTCCAGATAGATCTCCACCTAGATGACAAAACACTCACTCCAATAGCCTCTCTGATGCTAATAAAAGAGAGGATTTTGTGGATAAGTTCGTTTGGCAAGCTACTTAGTCTATCCTCTTCTACATTCATTACTTCGTTACAATGATCGGATTTAGCATTCACATGCATCATCCTCCTTTTTGCCTCCAAAAACTGTAATGAAATAGAATGCAACAATCAGGACATATTATGAAAGTTAAAGCTACAACCTGAAAAACTAGTTTTACACAACATAGAGGAGATCAAATTCTACAATCTATCACAAAGTTAGTACTCTTTCCATTGCAATACATCTCATCCTCATCACCTTGTATAGTTTAACTTCTCTACAACCATAAATTATTCTTAGTAATTTGGCTATGGATTGCTATTTATCACACAATGCTTTCAAAACTGATGAATTTATAATCAGGAAAAGATTAGTAACATAACTATGACATATATGGTTGTCAGCAACCTTTAAAAAAAAAAAAGGTCCAAACTGTTCCCAATCTAATTGATGGCAATCAATAAAAGAAGAATGTGATTATTACATGCACAATACGTGGGTAGCAAACAGAATGAGCAATTTAGATAATATATGCTACATGGACGACTTCCGAATAGGTTTTTCTCGAGAAAACATACATTTTTCATGAAAACTTAAGACGCTAGAAGATCGACTTGCACACAGAGAGACTGGATTGCGAATTGTTAGCGTATAAGAACATGCGTATGTGCTTACATTATTAATCAACTATAATAAATGAATGTTTTTTTTTTGCTACTTTTCATACTCTCATTCAATTTGTCAAATGTCATTTTGTTGATATTTTGAATTAATTTTTTTTCCATGTGTCATTTTATGAGTTTTTCTATTTTATTAAATTTCACATAATATTTTAATGTAATAATTACAATAAATGTAGTAATAAATGAATACCAATTATATTAATTAACTTACCTTTTAATATCAAATTTCCAAAATTAAAACTCATTAATTTCTTTGTTTATTTAATTAAATTATTTGTTTAAATTAAATTATTATAAATTCAAAGTTCTCAATATTTTGACTTATATATATATATATATATATATATATATATATTAAATTAAATTAACTTATGTATTACATGGGTTTCACAACTAATATATATAAAATGATCAATCTGAATTGGATAATAATTATGATCCATGAAAAATGGTAAATTGAGCCTGAAATGTACTTCGTCTTCTTATCTTTTTAATCACCAAATTACGCATAATATAATTAAAAAAGGTAAAAGATAATTTAGCTTAATCTTTTAACCATTTGGCAAGAAACGGCCAAAAATAAATAAATAATAATAATAATAATAATAATAATAATAAAAAAGAAGATACCAACATAGCCTATGAAATGGCAATGGGTTTTCGTGGGCTGCGATTTTGTAGGCCCATATAAGATTTGTCAAAAGGATATAAGATTAAACATGTATTGTTAGGGGGTATTTGGTAGGGCCTTGTGTGCATGTGGTAATGGAATGACTCATTAAGAGGTAATGAAAAAAATGTGTGTTTGGTTTGTTCAAGAATGGATCTCAACGCGGGGTTTTCATTCATGTGGGTATCTTTTTTTTTAGGGGTGAGCATAATAATCGAAAAATCGAATCATAACCAAATTAACCGATATAATCGAACCATAATAACCGAACCGTTTTAAAAACCATTGGTTCGGTTTCTAATTCTTGTTAACCGATAACAAACGGTTCGGTTATGGTTTTATAGGTTAACCGAACCATTATTAACCGAATCACTAACTTTATATTTTAATGCATAAAAATTATGGATTATATATAAAATAATATAGTCAAACTTATTTAAGACCTATTAAATTTCCAAAATATAATTCATTAATCCTCACTTATCAGGAGATGTACATGCAATCAAACCATCAAAGGATGATCACATAGATTATGCCAACACACACAATTTGCCAATCATGTATTGAGTTAGATTATTGATTAATGTTGTAATTCCTAATCGGCTAATTCTATAATTTGTAAACATTATTCACATTTAGTTTAATGTTCACACCCATAATCATAATCGGATGCTTCACACACCGTTAATCCTAATCAAAGATTGTTTTAACTTTATAATTCTAATCGGAGGATTTTCTTTTTAATTTATAATCAAAACTTCTAGGTAAGTTAAGTTTTTAGTTTTTCTTCACTTTATGATATATTAAGAATGTATTTTTTCTAGAAAAAAAATTGCTTTTTTATTTACTGTTTTTACTTAATCATATTGAATGTATATGAATGATTGCTTTTTTTTATCCTAATAACACGTAATATATATGTTTAGCTATTTTAGTTTATACCTTTTGATTTAATCGCATTCAACATGTATGAATGTTTGGCTTTATTTTAATGTTAATATCAATTATCCATATATGAAGTTATTAATGCCATTTATTTATTTATTTTTTAACTTTGTATTGAATGTTTTTTATTTTGAATGTGATTATGTGTTATCTCACTCTTAGTATCAAAGGTACACATTTTATTCTATTACTATAAGCTAGATTGCAAACATTGGTTCCGAGGACTTTATGTATTCTCTTTTCATTTTTTATGCCACTATACTTTCGTCATTTATATTATTTTGAACATTATGGTTAACCAATATTAACCATTAACCAAAATTGTTAACCGACAAAAACCATTAACCATAACCAATATTAACCGTACTCAATGGCTACCAAAATGCATTAACCAATCATAATGGTTATGGTTCGGTTTTGACCAATAACCGAATCAAACTGCCCCATACACACCCCTACTTTTTTTTCTTTTTTTTTTTTTTTTTTTTTTTTTTTTTTTTTTTTCATTCCATTGCCTCGTATGAGAATATCTTTCAATTTTGCCGTCAATCTCCATCAATCGGAAGAAATTATTTTATATATCGCTCAAAATCAGCAGAAGTAATCTTCACTTTATCAAAATCTTCTATCAATTTAATCCTTATCGCACCAAATCAGCCACCAGATCATTAACAACAAACGCGCTTGCTCTCTATACAGGAAGTTGTCGAGTATCTTGTATGGCTGTATCCCAAAGTTTTTTTTGTTTCAAACTCTGAAGGTTAACATATGTTTTCCTTTTTAATTTTATTAACATAATTCCTATACTCGTGTATTTTGTTGGTGTTCAATTTTATGTATCGATGAAGTAGATTTATATATCGATGAATCATAATTTTGTATCTTGTGCTTTTCTTGTTGTGTTATTTTTTATTTTTATTTTTTTTGTTCTCTAAAAACAAGTGAACTTGGTTAATTTTGAGAAATTGGAATTTTAAACAACCTAATCGTCTATGGAATCCTTAATTGATCAAATATGCTTTTAACTTTCACATACTCCCACTGTCACTTAAAATCACTTTGCAATTATCGATTATACCCCACTTCAAAGTATTTGATTGTAACCCTTTATTATTGGTGTCAAACCTTAATTAACATTTTCTTTTCCATCGAATTCATCTTTCATTCCCTATTAATCTCTTTTTGCTATCTGGATAGTAGCCTGTAAACTTAAGAAGGCAATTGTTGATTAGATTTATATTTATTTCCAACAAAATAAACTTTTAGTTTACTGTACCATTTCTTTTGTAACTCTTGATGTTCTTGATCATATCTTTTTATAATTTGGAGATCCTTAAAGATTTCAACCGGTTGATGAATGCCACCCTTATTGAACCTCAAACTAGTAGCCTTTATTTGTATCATCATTAGTAAACCAAATTCAACTACCTTTGACCGGATTGGTTGAATGCTTCTAGCATCACTAGTTTTTTTGTTTCCATTTATGTTTTCTGAGAGGTAAAAGTGGTCATCGGCACCAATAAGTTTTGTTTTTTAATATCAGTTAAGTAGCTCTCTACTTCCATAACAATCAAGATAAATATTATGTAAGTTTTCATCTTCACCCTGTTTTTAATCTACTAGTTTTAGAGTCATAGTTGTGTTTAGCTAAATGGTTCGATGGGTTCCCTTTTTGATATATTTTTGCTTTGGTCAAATAATTTGTATTTTGTTTTTGTTTTGGTGATATTTTTCATAGTTGAGGATGAAGACAAATTTGGATGGGTAAAGGATTTGCTTAATGTTATTTATATGGATATTTTTTTTTTCTGAAATTGTAATTTTTTTAAGTTATGAATATTATGATCGAATCATTTTTTGATAATGTTGGAAAGACATTGATATGATTTTGATAATGTTATTTAGATGTTGATATGTTTTTTTGAGATAGGTTTTTTTAGAGTTTTTTAATAAATAAAATTTCATATGTATATAAACTATTTTATGTCTATGTTATAGTTTTGGTTGTTTGTTCAAATAATATATGTTTATTACAATAAAAACTATAATTTTTGCCTAGATAATGTTAAAAATATTGAATTCTATGAATTTTGTGTTATAAGGGTATTTTTGTCATTAGTATTTTGACTATTTTCATTCATTTTCTTTCTCTTTTTATACATACCAAACAACATGGATGAATGATTCATTCCATTCCTTCAAAGTAAACCATTCCATTACTTGGTTTATTCCATTCATTTGCTATTCCATTACGTTTCCTAAGAGTGCAAACTAACCTTCTTCCAAAGTTATGTTATTCTATTCGAACCAACTACAAACAAGTTCACAAAGTTTTCGGCAACCTCATAAAGAACATCGTTTGAAAGAAATAGCAATATTGTAAAATATACCTTCTCTTCCCGGGAAATAGAACCCAAACACCTTTCCCGTTTCAACACTAGTTGCATCTTTGATTTAAACTAAAGCTTCTTTTTTTTCACTGTAAAACTCTTGATCATCACTTGGGGAACCATCTTCTATGAAATAAAACCAATAAAGATTGATGTTATCTTTCACCATAAAAAAAAAAAAAAAAAAAAAAAAAAAAACACAAGTTGGATCTCTTTGAGGACTTCTATCTAATGAGGAAATATAGACATCACCTTTTTTTTAAATAGTAGCTGCTGAAAAAAGTTGAAACGACCAACTCAAGAGTTTTCCTTTGTGAATTTGGTGCTTTGGTGATGGTAGTTTTGACCCATTTTTGTTCCATAGGCACCCAGTTAAACTTTTTAATCTCAGTTTG